CCAGTCTGTCCAAGAAGGTGATGAGGCTTCTTTCCACTGCGGTGCCATGGGCAACCCAACCCCAAAGATCTCATGGTTCAAAGACGGGAGGTCTATCGGTACAGGAAACACATTGAGCTTTACTGCGTTCAGAAATCGCTCTGGAGAATACTGGTGTTCAGCTGATAATGGTTTGGGATCGGCCATCAACGCCAGCGCTCGACTAAATGTACAGAGTAAGTATGAATGGGTCGCTTTTGGAACCAATGTTTAGCAAAAACACGATAAAAAAGAAAAGTCGTAGGATATCATCAAAATTATTCTAGAGTTTTAACCAAGCAGCTAAAGGCAACTTTGAATGCAATACATTCAACAACACAGTACAGGTGAAATTTCCAGAAGGTCACTACGACCAAGTGTTGTGAAAGAACTGAGCCAAGGTCGATGGGAACGATTCTTAACTCAGCAGATACGCGCGGCGTAGATGACAAGTTATTGCGGTCCTTCCGTAAGCAATTGAGTTTCTCGCTGGTACATAGCCTTCTTGTCAACCATTCATAAACGTATTTGTCTGAGTGAGTCAGCATATTTGGGAGTAAAAGTATCATTGTTTACCTAACTGGAGGTGACAAATACATCAGTTTCGTTTCCATATTTATTTACAGTTAAACCTCATTTAATCACCACACCAAGGAACCAATCGAAAGTTGAAAACAAACAAGTCACGTTCCATTGCAATGCCACTGGACATCCAATCCCAAAGATAACATGGACTAAAGATGGGAGGACTGTGGGCACAGGAAGCAAGCTTACCCTAACCGTCTCTCGGGGTGACGCCGGAAGATATTGGTGTACGGCGGACAACGGTGTAAGTGCTGACGTTAGAGCAAGCGCTTATCTCCGTGTCTTGTGTAAGTAATCGAATTAATTTACCACTTTAATATTTTAGGCAGACAGTCCGATTTCAGACAATCATGTCCGAATAGGGACAATTATGTCCCTATTCGGACCCCTATTAGCTAATCTACAGCTAACACATTGACACGTTGATAAAGTTTTCACTCATAAAGTTTTTTTCATTTGTGTCTGCTTGTGGGCGGAACCGACCGATTTCCGACACTTGTATCCGTTTCCGGACGGCACCGTTCAATTTCGGACTCTTGTGTCCATTTTTGGACGGTAACTGGACTCCGATTCTGGACTCCTGAGTCCGTTTCCGAACGATAACATCCGATTTAGATCACTTTTGTCCTTTTTAGGGCGGAAATGTCTGATTTCTAACTCTTGTATCCGTTTTCGGGCGGTACCGTTCGATTCAGACACGTGTGTCCATTTTGGATTCTAGTGTCCGTTTTTGGACGGAACCGTCGGATTTCGAAAACTCCCGTCCGTTTTTTGATCGGCAACATCCTGATTTCGGACACTCATGATCGTTGTTGTACTGTACCATCCGATATCAGATATTTGTGTCTGTTTTCGGACGCCGGGTATCGTCAGAAGTCTTAGACAGTTGTCTGTTTTCGAGGGTGCAGTCCGATTTTGGATGGTATCGTCAGATTTCGCACTCTTCCGTTCACCATGGGTCCATACAGACTTCATCTGTATCTGACGTAATGTGATAAAACTCGGGTTTCAGTAATCACCTGTGGCATTAACACCAATCGCATCTTGTAATGCATATTTCTTATTTCCCTTTTTTTAGATGTCCCCTCTCCGCCGATTAATGTCACAATAACAGACTGTAAAAACTGGAGTGTGGAACTCCACTGGGTACGAGGCCCTTCAACCGATGGTGCTCCAATCACGCATTACCTGATTGAGCAGGAATCTGGTGAGGACCCTGTGGTTTTCAGCTTATTGCACAACGTTAGCAAATCGGATGTAACGAGTATGACCTTCAACATAAGCTTGGGGACTTCGCCTCGTTTCCGCATCAAAGCAGTTAACAATGTTGGTGAAAGCCTACCCAGTTCAACAGTCAAAACAACTTGCCAGGGAACC